TATCACCTATAAATTCATTTTCTAGGATGCGATTTTCAAGGAGGACCTGGAGATTTTAAAACACTAGTAAACAGTGAAGACAAGTTATCAGCTAGTGATAAATACATTGAACACATCAATTTGTCATTTCTTATACATGATCAGAAAAACCTTAATTTGCATAGATACAAAAACAAAAATGAATGACTGTGCACTTTTTCTCATTGAAAGGAACCATGATGATCCAAATTAAGTAACTTCTGAGGCTCTCTTCCCTGTTAATGTGTTAAGAAGTGGCTCCGCTGCCCTGCCATTTATAATATGCCCATCCTCTCCAGTTCTCTAATGATTTCAAAGGTAGAGCAACACCTTTAACTGGCGAAAACAAGTGGCATGGTGGTAACTTGTCATCTGTTACGCATTTTCTTATCACCTTCGGTTGATCTGTTGAATCGCAATTTTTTGCCGGCTTTCCAGTGGTGCTCCACACACAATTTAAGATTCGGAGCTGCAATTCAGTCCGGGTATAAAGTTACCAGTACGACTAGCTTAGATTATTTATAAGTGAGGAGCAACCAACTTGAATGCCTCCATCACCACATTTTCTGGTACATGCTCCCCATTTAGTTGGTAACCATTTGGCAACACAGTTCGCTGCAAACAAAATATGTATCTCAATAAAAAAACTATTGAACAGGAGGCTTTTGTATGTCATTTAAGCTTTTTTAGGTGATACTAAGCGAAACAAGCTTCATTGAAAAAGTACGGCAAGTTATAAGGTAAAAAAGAAGTTGTTTCCTTATGTCCCACTTTCCTAAACTTACTAGAATTTTGTATGAGCAGAATTTCTAAAGCACATTACTAGTAAATAGCAATACCATTAAAACATTTCATTTTGAGTTTGGGTCGAGTACGCCTGTCGCAGAATGTTGAATTCACTGTCGCACCATCACCGTCAACACACTTTATCGTGCGTTTCTGCACTGAAACTTGATGTCCAACGCATCTGCCAACAGAGCACTAAACTGTTTTGTTTCATAGTTCTGACCGTTGTGGAAAACACCCAAACAAAAAGATCTGCTAAAGCTAACCTCCGACCACGAGCTTGCTTTCCACTTCGGACAGTGCGTTGCTCTGCAACGTTTTTGCGTTGGTGGTTTCACAAGACCAAAGGTCTTGCAAATGTAATCGCTCGCGATTGCCATATATTCATCTGCGGTGATTCGGCACTCTAACTGCCGATGCTAAATTGAAAATACTCAATTCCAGAGACAATCAATTCATATACGACAAAACATATTGAGCAGGCAACAAACCTGAAGTCCAGACTCCCCACATTTTGGCTGTGAACAAGGCGACCAGTCAGTAGTTACAAACTTGACCTAAAAACTGTTGAACTTTTTTTTGGGCCCTCAAAACTTTATTACTCTTTACCATATCTTCAGGAAGGAATGGGACCTTACGATACGGTAGACGGTACCAATATCCTTCGGCTGTTAAAACTTACCAGAAACTCAGTGTTATCTTCAACCTTACCCAACTCCTCGAGAGTCTTTCGATCTTTATCACTTTTTGACTGTTCAAGAAGCTCCTGAAAACTCCTATTAAATTTGGCCAAAACTCTTGTTCAAGTTCAAAAGCCATGCAAATAACCTCTACATTGCTGAATCACAGAAACACTTTCTGCCTTGAGAAATTTTATAGATTGGAATCGCACCTGCAACTCAATCTTTTTAGCAAAATGTGGTTTCATATAATACTCCTCCTTAATGTTGCTCTTCTGGTGTAACGACAGCTTGTTCGGTTTTGATCCCTTTTCGCCCTGAATGATACTGCAGAGCTATTATTCCTTCAGATGTACAAGCTACAAGTCATAAAACCATGAAATCCGCATAAGGAGTACTAATGCTTCTGAACAGTAATGTTGCTCAAGTGTGTTCAAAAAGTCTAACAGTTTTGGAAAACGGCTTCTTTGAGCTCGGTTTGAACTTCAAAGTTGTGTTCCCTTCGACAAGTTTCTTCCCACCACAAGTGTAGATACCCTCATCTGCATAACTAGAGTTGAATATACGAAGTCGGCCGTGCGGCGAAACTCTGACGCGATCTGCGCAAACAATTATTTTTGACCAAGATGTGTTGCAGGAAACCATTAATTAAGAATGGAAGTACTGTTAAAATGATTTTTTCAAGTGGGGAATGCAGAAAACTGGTGAAGCCAAGTGCGAATTACCGCTTAAATTGAATAAACTTTTTTATGTCACAAGATTTAATTGCAGTACAAAATAATTTTAGTATTTCGTGCCCAGTCTGAAAAAGTAAAAATCAAAAAAACTTTACCAGTGTAGCTGCTAACAATCTGCTCGCCATTCTTGAACCAACGAATTCTATTCCGCGGAAATTTCCTTACCGGACACTCAACCTATAAAAAAGATGATTTCTAAACTTTTTATAATTTACTATTTTTAGATTTTTTAACCAAAAACGCTACTTCAAGGAGAAGAAAGTTCCACTTGCCTTGAAATAAAGTGTAAAAGGTTTCCATCTTATATTACAAAAGGGAATACCTTAATATCGGTGCCTTCAAATATTATGCCGCCTTGCGGAAGTTTTAGTGATATGACACCAGTATCTTCTGTTTGATCAAAAAACATTTTTTCTCCTAACTGTTGAGCTCTATCGGAAAAGTATCGATCGTGTGGGCAGCCCCCTAAATGGTTCAATTCGTATTAATAAAATATACAGTTTGTTAACATTTTTATTGGTATACGCAATTCATTTGCAACCAGCTCTTAATGACTGCCGTCAGAATGATACCTTACCAAGGTTGCAAACTTTGTAGTTTGCGGGTTTTTCGTAGCGGCAAAGATCCGTGCCGTTAAGAACAACAATTTCTCCAGACGCTTTCTCCTGCACGCAGGACACCGCGCGAGTCTTTACACCTTCTCCACAAGTCACTGAGCAAGGAAACCAACTCTGCGCCTTTAACATTTATATAAAAAACACAAGTAACTTTTTAAAATGAAAATGATACAACAAAAAACGTTTTCGATACAAACAAAGACGCACTGGAGTCAAGTTCAAATTTTTTAAATTTTAATAAAAATTGGTTTTGCCAGTAGAAGCAAATTATCTTTTGCTACTATGAATAACGACACCTTCTGAAGTCTATACCTTCCATTTCGGTGGACAGTCAACCACAGCACAACGTTCTTTACTGTACGGCCTTACACTACGACATAATGTCTCATTAGTTGGCATTATAGACTTTATACCGTTCGCTTCAATTACTGTTCGTACACATCGGACCTAAATATTGCGATAACAGAAACTTGTTTGAATTACGTGTAAATATGTGTACTACGTAATGTTGAAAGCTTTATTTGCTTTGAAAAGTCTACATTTTTTATTTATGCTTACTGGCCGGTTAATCCTACGGTTTTGATCACTGCCTGCTATCTGCTGTCAAATTCTCGCCAAATTTTTAAAAAATTCCCGACTCACAAAGCGAAAACGCCCCTTTAGAGCACTTTAGACATCCATATTCTTTCAGAAATTTCATCTATTGGGACGGCAGTGTAAAAACCCGAGTAAGTTGCAAGTAAACAGCGTTGTTTCAAGAGAAACGCTGGATTTCGGCTGTCATATACTTCGCTCTGATTTTTTCATTCTGAAACTCCTTCCCGCTTCTAAGGAATTACTAGATTTCCACATCACGTTTCCTCACTTGTAAAGAAGCAAATGTTTCAAAGTATTAGGCAAAAACTCAACGTGTACTTCACTTGCTGCTAAAAAAATGTAAGTTGTACGAAGGGCTTTGGATGAGTTAAGTGGCCACCATTAATTTGCTTAAAGCGAATAGTTTTCCAAGACAAAGGAAAACTGCGAATTCGCGTGTTGAACTGCAGAAAAAAAAATTTTCTAGTAAAAAGGATTGAAATTTTTGCTTACTTTACGAAACCGAACACCGCCACCACAGGACTTAGTACATCGAGTGAACTGACCAACCTACAATGAAAAAATTTTAGCTTATAAGGATAACTGTCCTCCAGCAGAAAATATTGAATTTTTGATGAAGATCCACAGCGGCTTATTCTCTAACTGGCCCGTTATTAATGATATTAACGATTTCTGGTAGTCGGATGAAGTTGACGACGAAAAATTGTTGATTAGGCCCAGATTGGCAAACGACTATGACGAAATAGGCTGAATCCTCCCTCTATTCGAATAGGCTATTAAGTATTTCGACTACGTCAAAGTTTCAAATTCCAAATAGCACTTTTAAAAGGGGCCTTTCCTAGCTTCTGATGATTAGTATATTACAAATGAATCTCGATTTTTTTTCACTTCTACTGTACAGTGGCGAGGAATATGTGGTAAAAAATAAATAGAAGAACGACTGTTGCTTTTGAAGTGTGCCTGAAAAACTCCAACAACGAATTCTTGCAGCTTGTAGTTATTTATAGGCATCATTAGTAATAATTATGTTAAAATTGTAGGCAAAGATCTTATCGAAATTTTCCAGGCCGTCAGTCAATTGGTACGCCTATCTGATTTATTTAACATCACAACCAAAAACGGCCTTAGGCTCGCTTACGCGTAAAAGTCGGTTATCTAATATTTCTTATTTGGTGACAGCAAACGTACCACATAAAAACTGTTTTATGTATATTTTTTATGAAGCTTTTTGGACCTAACTGCCTTGTTAGAGGTCCTTAAGCATAATCAAGCAAAATGCACGTATATTTTCAAATCCAAACCCGTTTTAAAATCCCCTACTACTTCGTACACTTCAATGTACCATTATAAAGCGTGATAATTGCAAGCTAGAACTAAGTCCTTTGGGAATTGATACTAAGTTCATTTATATATTGTTGCCTCTCTTCCCTGTTTTTGCTTCTCCTCTCCTCTTGCCTTCAAAAATACACTGAGCACGTTTTAAAAAATTTCAAGTGTTTTATGAGAATACTGGTAAAGATGGAGAAAGCAGAAAAAATTTTGATGCGATTTTATATCAGAACATCACTAACCTCCCAAGATGGGGGACATGGGTGCGTGTTGCATGACCGGACGTCAACCGGCCTCTGCCTGGAATCGCAAAATGACCAACCAACAGGGATATTGCGGGCAGTGTCAACGCAACGTAGCTTTGAATGCTGCTTCCCTTAAATACATACACAGCATTTACAAAATAAATACTCAGTGCTCCCCACACAAGTTAAACGCAGTACAGAAAATCAATCTGACGGGGGCTTAGTTATTGTTCTGACCTCCGAGGCAAGATGCCGAACATGGTGACCATTCACCATAATCCCAACGGAATCGTCTTGACTTCTCCTTGTAGTAACGACTAAGTGGCGGCTGCCTGGTAGCCTCATTTATTGGACATGGTTTTATATAGCATTCACGATACGAGTTTTGCTTCACTTGCCCTAGAAGAAATCTTTAGAGGTCTCTCACACATTAAAAGAAGGAAACACTAAAAACATATTTAATCAGAATGAAACAGGAAACAAATTGAATGCGACCAGTTTTAAAAATTATCACTTCTATCCTTTTATTTGTTTAAAAGTTTTAAATACTGAGTTTAGGAAGCAAAATCATCCTTCTAACAGTTTGCACAGCCAAATTACACAAACATCTTTCTACTGTTTTTGAATTTTCCCTTTAAAATTGGTACTACTTTTACCCTCACTAAAAAAACGATCTAGATCTTATAAAAGACTGACCTCGACATTCGTATTCTGGAAGTGGTACTTTTTTCGCCGTATACGCTTGAATATAAACGCATTCGACGGGACGTGTCTCAATTCCTTGGCCACACGATGCAGAACATGGACCCCACTCACCAACATAGTAGAATCTTCAACAATATAGCTTTTACTGAAACATTGTTTTGACGAAGACGACGAAAAGGAAGATGAAAACGGAGCGATATAGAAAAAAAAATATTTTAACTCAACCAAAACTCAATACCCTTCTCGAGGCAGATGAAAGCTAGATAGCCCATTAAACGGCTGTTCAGCATTGTCCGCGTGAGTTTCATCCCATTTTCGAAACGGGGATATATACCTAGGAAAAAAAACAAATAGATTCCTCCGCTTTTTTGCATCTTCAAGACATTCTTTAAAGAAGAAAAACACTGCAAAAAAAAGTAAGCATAAGCAAAGAAGACACAAAGAGCTAACTTAAAACTTATTAGTGCACGATACTTTCAGTTTGACCTCACATAATTTGAAAACAAAGATAAACAAGAAACTAAGAATAAAGCAATAATTTATCGGTCTGAACAAGTATGAAAAATAAACTAAAAAAGATTATGTAGACAACTTTCAAATTCTACCTCACCATAAAAACCCCGACTTTTGCCCTCACTTCACAATGTATAAACCATTCTGCACACACCCATAAAAAAAATTTCTAGACACATTCTCTTTCAATCTTCTCAGCCAGTAATGATTCGGTCACAGCTCAGAAAGCTGAAAATATAACGTAAAAAAGTGACTTCTAAGTTAGGTCAAGCTAAGTTAATGGAAAAAATAACAAATTTTATTTCTTAGGTTACCGTGCCTCATTCGTTCCTGACCTCAACAAAACTACAACATTCCTACTTGCTTACTTCTCTCTGCTTGCTCCACTTCTCAACAGGTAGTAAAACTCTTTATTCAGGGAAATACTTTATAGATAAAAAGAAAAACAGCTCAAACAGCGTATTGAAAGTGGCAGCTTAAAACAAACATATATGGGCCGGTACATGCCAAACCGCACACTTTTTCTGTTTTATATCTCAGATTTTTTTAAAATTCTGCTGGTTAGTGGAGTCTAGGCCAGTATAAAGAAAGCAGAAAAAAACCTGAAAAAGTGAATTCCCCACCAAGTTACATCCCCTCAAACTCGCAAAATTTGCCAGGTTGCCGCTTGACACACCTATCTTTCCAGACATGTAATCTAGGTTGTCTTTAATAGAACTTGACAATTCTTTAGATTTGCCATTTTCTGAACTTTCAAATGCGTATCTAACTTTCTAATTCTGCTAAAAAATTAAATAAATACAATAAAAATAAGAATTCAAGTGAGCATTAAAAAAGAAAAGAAACTTTAAATTGTAGGAAAAAGGCAGACCTTGTGCAAAACTTCTTGCTCTACAACATGTCAAAATTTGGAAACGGCGATTTTTCGATAACAAGAGTTACGAGCCAAAAAGGAATGTGAAACTGAAAAAAACCACTGTTTTTACAGCAGCCTCATATATTTTGCGGTGTTGAAACGGTTCAGAGCTAGAAATCTTTGCGAGGCCAAAACATATACTAGCTACATGGTTTTGACAGAATAAAACACGAGAAGTAGAAAGCGCTAAATTAAAGACTACCTGTCTTAACTCCGCGGAATAATAATTTGTTAATATTATTAAAGTGAAGTACA